TGTTGCTACCCAAGCGATACAACGAGATGAACAGCTTCCTATCCGAGAGAAAGTAGTCAAAATCCATCCGCATATGGTTCTTTCGGAATCTCTGTGTCCTCTGCACAAACCTCCGTCCGGCACCTGGTTTCGGTAGCACAAATCTGTTTTCATGTAGTCGAAGTTGACTGAGAATCTGCGAAACAAACGGATGGTTGAGATCAGGACGAAAAGACCTAATCAAGGCTGTCTCGGTGGCCAAACGATCAGGCAATTCCGCAACCTGACAGAGTCCTAAGGTGACTCCCTGATAGAAATTCCGTTTACGATGCCACACCTTGATAGCAGGCTCATAGAAGGCCAGTTTGTTACGACATCGCTGGATGTATTTCCTGCGTCTGCTGGCCTCCCTAACTGAAACAGTAGCACTGGTAGAACCGATGTAGATCTCCGCGGTCTTCAAGGATGTGTAAGCCCACACGCACGTACACCACACCTTTCATATCATGCCACTCCCAAGTGTAGCCTGTGTCTACCTGGAACTGTGTTAAAAGGTCGCTCAAGCGATGGAAAATAGTCGTCCGTTGGAAGGAAAACCTGCCTGGAATAAGCATCACATGTCTTAGCACGCAAGCCCTGACCCAGAGAAAACGATCAACCGCAAAACGTGGCAGCACTCTGTACATTAAAGGCAAAACTAGCGCAAACCACGCAAAGAATTTCTTTAAAAAGAACTGACACTTTCTATGACGACCGGACGTATCCGATGGTCACTCCTGGGATAGCAAATGGGCTCCGGCAATCAATCTGGTCAAACATGCCTCATTCAACTTTGGAAGCCAAAGTGACACTCAGACCCCATTCGACCGCGATGGAATCAACAGGACGTTTCGATCCGGCATCCAACTTTCCTGCGGCTGCCGTGAACTTTGACACGGCAAGATCAAGCGCCTTCTTCTTGGACTTCCCCAGCCTGGCGCCTGCCAACCACTGATTCACACTAGTGATGTTGAACTTGGTGATCGAACAATTCTCAAGAAACCTTTGGCTGTCGGCTGAACACATGAACCTGGCATATGTGATGTTGGGGTCTTCGGCGTCCTCATCCCCGAAGGTCTGATCCTCCAAGGGTGGCGTCATCGGTTCCGTAGGAACATCATCTGGATTCTCCGCCTCCATTAGTCCGTGAAGAGGATCATGTTCGGGCTCCTCTGTAGGTTCATGGAAGGGAAGCCTGCGTTTCGTCGAGCCTTTCCCCGACTTGTCCGAGGAGGTGGGTGCGCAAGCACTCGATTTCGGGGTGACCCGCCTGCCTGGTGGTGTGGATGTAGAGGATGGTCGTCTGAGCGCTGCATTCTCAATCTCCAATTCCTGAAGTCGATTGAACAAGGCGGCATTAGCCCTGACTGGAGCACGTTTTCTGAACTCAACCGCCAACTCCTCCGCAACATGCTTCAAAGTGTCGTACCTAGCTTCCCAGTCACGCAACTCCTTCTGAGGATGACGTTTCTTATGTTCCGCGTTCATGATCGTGACGAAATCCTGCCCATCCGGAGAGACCAAATCACCTCTGATCAGGCGAAGTAAGACGCCGGCGAACACTGGCTCCTGTCGAGACCTGAAGTTCTCCCACGACACACGTCTACCGTGAGCCATCATGCGAAGGGCCCAGTTCTCACGTTGTTGACCGATGACGCTCACAAGGGAACATCAAAGACGGGCATGCCTTCAATCCCTAGTTCACGAGTACACCGATTGTTGGCTACAAACCTGGGCAGGGTGAGGCCGTAGATCTTGTTGGAATCCCACTCGTCTTCTGTCATTTTCCATGTCTTGGGAGGCTTGAAGCTCGGAGGTTTGTCTCTGCTGGAAGGCGGTGTTCTGGATCGACGACGAACTTCCTGGGAGGCTGAGACCTCCGAAACTGCCTGACCTCCCAATTGCGGGAGTGATGATCCCTGCGAAGGGATCGACCATGACGTCGTTGCGTTGATCGGGAATCTCGCCGATGGTAGGACATGTCCGGGATGAGAGGAAGGTGTCAGGATGAGCCGAAACTACAACCTGGTCCGAGACCTGAATGCTCGACAATGGCAACAAACTTCGATCAGAGCTCATGCACAATAGTCTAGCGCCACCTGATAATAATACAGAACATGTACATGGAAGGTCAGTCAGAGCACACCTGAGTAGGTTAGCGGCGCCTGATAGTAACACAGAACATGTAAAGGGACCTGACGAGACTTTGTGGCTCGCTGCCGCATGATTCATCCCTCTCGCAACTGCTGGGCAAGTTCTTCGCTGCGATTGGGTCCGAGGTGAAAATGGGGTAACCCAGCGTCGTCACGACGACTGGTGTATTGTTTCATCACAGTAACTGTGAGTCCGGTGATCCTGGACAAACTACTGTGAAAGACCCATTTCTTGTCCTTCCTCATGTGCACCGCTCCGGCAACCTGGCATCGATTCTGAGCATCCAATCCACCACCTGACTTCATCGCGAAGTGACTATCGGCAATGAGACACTCTCCCAGAACGATCAGAGGCTGCTTCCACTTGCCTGACAAGGCTGCACGGTCATGCAAGGAAGTGATGGATCCCGAATCATTCCACAGTGTACCCTGCCTGTAGTGTCCAACTGCATCGTCACCGTCCGCATAGACTGCAGGAGCTACAAACCGATGTCGAACTATACCTGCGATCCCGCCTGTGTCGGTGGCATGAGCGAACTGAATCACACCTCTTCGAGAATCCGTCAGATCAGGGTTTAGGCGTGACCACGGTTCAGCCAAGTAGAAGGTCCAGTGTACGAACATAGGGCTCTCCAACACTCTAGCTCGGGGGAAGACCTGTCCGATCCAAATGTCCGCACCTGAAAGGATGCTGGCAAAATACCGAGCTTCGAACTCCGGAGGAGGTGGGATGTTGCTGGCAGCGCAAACCTCCAAAAGTTGTTGGATGTTCTTACGGACCTTAGATTCATCCACCGACGCATATCGAAGAGGTTCGTCCCAGCTTTTCAGTCGGACGGACTGCGCACCTCGAGCCAAGCCTGAGATGTTAACTGCTGTGGTCTGTCCGGATCCTGAACTCGGAACAAGCACCTGTGCTTCCCGGAAGACGCTCGAGGACTGCGTTGATCCCTGAAACTCTCTCATCGAGGAAGAAGAAGACGGATGGTCCGAAGCGCCCGTCGGTTCATGGCGCCTGGCCTTCTTTTCTCCCACAGGGAGTTCAAGTGTAGGAGCACGTCGCGCAAAATGAGGAACAGGCATTTTTTTACAGGTGGTGATGAGCTTCGTGCGCTTTCTGAAGGTTGCTTCAGCCGAGAACTACCTGGCACAATCAGCGGTGGAGAAAACTGCTGCAACACCCGATCACCTCTATGCTGACGGACTGTTCCACTGGTGTTCCTGCGCTGATCTGAAGTCGAAGCTCCTGACGTATGTGGACGGACTGTTCCACTGGTGTTCCTGCGCTGTTCAGAGGCGAATCTCAAATGCATAACGCAATGAAACTAATTTGACTGAAATATATTCAATCAAATAAAAATGGATTGATCCAATCAAATGAATCAAATCACA